TTGAGGCTCAATGGAAAATAATATGGAAAAGTATTGAATGCTGGATCAACAATGGAGATTTTTGCCTCAGGCTGTAAGCATGTGCGTGATGCAACAATTCCTCCACATTCGAGCAAATTGTAAGACATGTATAACTGCCTTTTGGAACAAAACATAGAGTCACTTTCTGATCTGGCGCCACTATCGGCAGGATGACATCGCTTGTCTGTGCCTTCCAAAAAAACGCTACAAATGTGTTTTATGACGTGACCGTATCTCTGCGGTCAAGGGTTGGTTAGGTCTAAGCACAAACACTTGGTTAGGGTTTAGGGAGAGATCATAGTTTGGGTTAAAATAGATACTTTGTTAGCAGTTTGTCATTTGTTTGCGGCACCTAGCAGTGAGGTTACAGGTTTAGCCAAGTCTGTAGGAGAGCTATGGTAACTGACACAAAATCGCAAATGACTTTCTCAGGAGTGAGTGTTTGGTTCGTCCGTTCTGGGCTGCTGTATAAAAATGGCGGCCGGTTCCGTAAAGAGGACCCGCTCTGTATAAACAGCTCTTTCTAAGGTAACGAAAACGCAACGATTCTTACTTTCAGGTGATTATACATGTAAGAAAACATACTTAATGTTATGTTTCATTTATGCCAATAGATCCCTTTAAATGCTGCACACTGTTCCTTCAGTATATTGGTGGCCTCCTGTAGCCATTAACATTTCTGTGCCCTAAAATCAAAATGTCAAGTTTGCCCACAAGTTGCCTCATATTTAGTTGAGAAGATTTCCATAAAATGAACATCAACTTTTTGATTTCAATGAGACTGCTATCTCATCTTCACGATTTGCTCATTTCAACGAGCATTGTGAGCACAGTTTTAGGGACTTTAAAAATATTTCAATATGAAGTGTTTCATTAAGCTGCAGTTAAAACATGAGAATAAAAACTGTATTACATATTTATTTAGTAGCACATCTAACAGTGGCTGTATGAGTTTGCTCATTTTCAAGGAATAGACAAAGTGTGTATGATTGTAACAGTAAAAGAGAGACTTTGATAATTAAGTGTGTGTGTGTGTGTGTGTGTGTAGATTGGGGGCACGTTATGAATATACAGATACAGCCCTGATGCTTGAGTTATGACCTCACTTGTGTGGATTGCAGGGTGGTCCTTTCATAGCCAGTTAGACACACCTACACACACACACATACACACACACACACACACACACTTTCTTTTCTCTCTCCGTCCACAGAGCCAGACTTTATCACACATTACTAACAAGCATGAAAAGAGTGTGTCGACACACACTCAGGAACAGCGAGCGTTTTGTTCTCTATCTTTAACACCCGGGGTTCAACACATTGTACACACACACTCCCGAACTTTCCCCTCCCGCTCAAACATACACACACACACAAACACACGAAAATGCTTCAACAACTTAGTCATTCAAACTCTCTCTTTTATAGTGCACATATACGTACACACCCAGGTGCAGGAACACAGAAATCCAAAATCCCCTCTTTCCATGTCCTCTTTCTTGCTCAATATTTCCCTTTTTCATGACCCACCCAGCGTCTGTTGCAAACAAACACACACACACACACACACACACAATGACAGGATCTTTCTCTGCAGGGTCAGAGGGTCTGATGAAAGTGTTGGGAATGTGTACTGAGAGGCCACTGACACTTCCTCCACTTTCTAGTACTGACGGCTGGCCTCAAGCACCTAAGCCCGGAGGCTGCTCCCTCCAGATGTCTTTCATCTGTGTGTGGGGGGGGGGGGGGGTTATTGTTGAAGAGACTCCCTCGCCGTGGATCTATCCTGTCACTCAGCACTTCTTAGTGCTTGGCTTTCTCTGGATAAAAAGTGACGATTAAAAAGCTGAGAATTACATAATAAGGAAATCACAACCTCACCGCAGACACCAAAGGGGAACAATGGACCCGTCACAAACAGGATAGAGGCTGCTTTCAGCGCACCATCAACAAGTTCAGCAGTTGGTTTCTAGAGCGTTGACCTTGAGCTACTTTCCGACCCCGCCACGACACGCTTAATGCACAGTAAGTCATGCAGTGTGCATAAAGATACCATTTTTTATGTGTTATCTGATCTGATTTGTCTGTCTTAAAGCAATACTCGTGTTCTGACAGAGTTTTTGCTTCCTCCTGTTCATACCTCCCATTAACAGATCCACCGTCCTCGTTCCATGGACAAGTATACTCATAACTGAAGTAAATATGAAGCTTTGTTTATCCTCGCGCTTGGCGCCGTAGGGCGAGCCTCCGCAGACGGCACTCGAGCTCGGAGCATGAACGGAGGCGTTTATACTCTATATACGTTTGTGTTGCATTATTCCCCGAAATGCCTGAGGGTGTAGAAACATAATGGAACTGTGAAGAATAAAAAGACACAAACCAACCTCCACAATGCCGAAGAGGGATTGAAATGATCTATCAACTTACTGTATATCTCATGGACTACTTTATTGCCTCTGTACAAGCCCTATAAAGAAAGAAGTTCGGTATTGCATGCATTATCAGGCCGGTTTGAATCGAGGGAATGTTAACAGCAAACAAAAAACACTTTCAATGTACATATGAGCACTGGGAAACTATCCTTTAAATGAGTCTTAATCCTGTTGAATGGTCCAGAATAAAAAAATTATAATTTCAAGCAAAAGATACAGTAAAACATGGAGTGAAAAAAGGTCGCCCTATTACAATGATTACTGGCCAGTGTTTATTTCTTTATGCCTCCTCAGAACCCAACGAGCAGAGAAGAAACAGATACATCCCGCTTGCCTGGAGCAGTACGGTATCGTGATGATTCAGTGAATGAAATAACATTTTACAGCCACTCCAAGCAAACATGGCTGCAGACGGAGTCCCTTATCGGCCCCGCCGCAGGAAATTGGACATATAAACAGAGCCCAGAAAACCGTTTATTCAATTGATTAGGACTTCCTTTATACTGTTTCTGGTGTACGGCCATGCCTAACACATGCCCGCATTGTTGCGCTGCCAACATTCTGAGCCGGTCTACTGTATAGTTGATGTACAGTATTGCTTTTGGCTCGGATTATGGTGAAAAGGAATGGGCTATATTTAGAATGTATAGCATATGGTTCTACAGAACAAAAGCACAGTCAGGAACTGAGTTATGGGTTATTGCTACCGGCAAAACTCACCCATCACCTTATGTATGTCCTGTATATCATGACCATCAAAACAGCAGGCTGCAGTACCGATGAGATTTAGAGCTGAGCAGGAGTTGAAAAATATTTTTGGCCAAACTTCAGCTTTGATAACTTTCAACACTGCCTCATTCCCCAGGAGTTTCCCTTATTTTTCATTTGAATTTTTCGAGAGGTGAAGGTTGTGATTGCGAGTCCAAGGGTTGAAGAAATCCCTCATGTTTGCAATTTGGCTTTGGCAGAGCTGAGATGTTCTTTGCTGTGTCACTGCAGAGAGAAAAAGAGGGCTTCGGGGATGTGGTCGGTCTCACAGGAAGGTAAAGGAAGAGAGACGTGTTTCAACAAAAAACACCGGCCTTTGACGCAGAACTTCTAATACTCGTCCTTTCATTAGTCGTCCCCTAGCCTCCTTTCCATTCGTCTCCTTCTTACTTCCACACACACACACACACACACGCTCACACACTCACACACTCTCCCCTACTATAGCCCTGAGGTCCTGTTTCCGGTCAGGGGTGCATGAGACAGACTAGCCAGCATCTGTGTGGGACTGGAGCGTATTACACACACACATACACACACACACACACACACACACACACACACAGACACATGTTCCTGTGAGCACTGCTTATGTGCGTGTGAGTCGACTCTAAGCGTCACGTTGCCACTCAGTTTTCTAAGTTTCCTCTGATGTGCTTTGTCTTTTCTTTTTTAAAGCAGGAACATATCACACAGGGGTTTATTCACACGGCAAACATAAACACACACAGCTGCACACACATAGCGGGCGAGCACGCAGATGCACACACATCACACTTGCGACTGCAGACAATAGGAGTTTTGTTTCTAACAATCGGTTTTTTTTCCTCTTATAAAGCTACTGTTCACCTCTTAGCGATGGCTGTTGTTCTGTATGTGAAACGCTCACCACACACACACCACCCACACACGACCACTAATCATGTCGAGTCTAAATTCAAGGGGGGGGGGTTCTTTTTCCATGTTTCAGGAAGCAGCTTAAATCCACATGTTTCCTAAAGCGCTTTTTTGTAACAACTCATTCTTGACAGAAGCATAAAAAAGGACACGTTCTGTTTAGTGTAGACAGATGATGTTTTGGTGTTCTAAACCCATGTGAATATATAGTTTGAATGTTATTTCTGAAAAGCTTTATCCTGCTTTAAATGGTAGCTAAAGAACACTTTTTTTAACATATTATGGCGATTTGGATGTATTGGTTGATAATTCCGACATGTGATCAAGAATAAAAATGCAAATCATTGAGCGGGCGTGACCTTTGCAATTCAGATGCACAAATGTTGTCACGTCATTTATCTTTCTTCTTCTTTTTTTTAAAGTAATTTTGGAATAAGACTCACAAACGGTCCCGTTGCTCATTTCAATCTATCTTTTGTGATCTTCAAACGAGCAGAAAGAAATCTAGAAATCTAGCCCTTCCGTGGTGTTTTTAATCCGTGGGTATTGTCTTGAGATGGTGAGCAGTGTTACAGAACAGTGCATGTGAAAAATAAACTTTTTTAAAATAAAATGATCAGTGCCTCTACATACAGTGGGTACGGAAAGTATTCAGACCCCTTTAAATTTTTCACTCTTTGTTTCATTGCAGCCATTTGCTAAAATCAAAAAAGTTCATTTTATTTCTCATTAATGTACACTCAGCACCCCATCTTGACAGAAAAAAACAGAAATGTAGAAAAATGTAAAGGGGTCTGAATACTTTCCGTACCCACTGTATATACCAACAGATACACACATACATCATTCCTAACATATCTAATTTATTTTCTCCCTTCAGAAAGCACCACTGCCACCATGGACAATGAACAGTGCTACTACAACGAGACCATCACCTTCTTCTACAACCACAGCGGCAAGTACCTTGCCACCGACTGGGACACCGTCAGCAGGCTGGTGATGGGCCTGGGCATCACCGTGTGCATCTTCATCATGCTCGCCAACCTCCTGGTGATGATCGCCATCTACGTCAACAGGAGATTCCACTTCCCCATCTACTACCTGATGGCCAACCTGGCGGCTGCTGATTTCTTTGCCGGACTGGCCTACTTCTACTTGATGTTCAACACGGGGCCGAACACCAGGCGCCTGACCGTGTCCACGTGGCTGCTGCGCCAGGGCTTGATCGACACCAGCCTGACGGCGTCCGTGGCCAACCTGCTCGCCATCGCCATCGAGCGCCACATCACCGTGTTCCGCATGCAGCTGCACACGCGCATGAGCAACCGCCGCGTGGTGGTGGTGATCGTCATAATCTGGACCATGTCCATAGTCATGGGGGCCATCCCCAGCGTGGGCTGGAACTGCATCTGTAGTCTCGAGCACTGCTCCAACATGGCGCCGCTTTACAGCAACTCCTACCTGACCTTCTGGGCGGTGTTTAACCTTGTGACGTTCGTTGTCATGGTGACGCTCTATGCCCACATCTTTGTCTATGTGCGCCAGAGGACCATGAGGATGTCGCGGCACAGCTCCGGGCCACGGCGCAACCGAGATACCATGATGTCTCTGCTGAAAACCGTGGTGATTGTGTTGGGTAAGGAAGAGATACAGTCTGTCTTTCTGTCTGTCTATCCATTTATCTCCATGTATCTAGTTATCTGCTCCATTTATACAGTATCAATTTATATCTAGCAAGCTACATCTACTGTGTATATCCAGTACTATATCTCTGTAGCAGTGAATGCAACATTTGAAGTCATCAGCTACACAGTAGCAGAACAATGAATCTGTTGATAGCTCTATCTGTGAGGCTGCATCATTCAGCACAAACACAAGTGTCTGCCTTGCACGACTGTAGGCCTCAAATACATGACGTCAGCCAATCCGGTCCCCTTACGAATCCCGTTCATGTGCTGTGATTGTAAACAAGCAGTTTTACGAAAAACGGTTGTTGCGTTTCATTTTGCTGAGACCAAAGGCGACCGTGAGCATCTGTAGCTGAGTAGCTTGATGCAGTATTATCTCAGGTGCAAGAGGTGAAACATTGCTGCTGTAGCACGTTGACAGATGTGGTTTGTTGACTGTGACATTGTACACGATATGGTTTTGCTCTGTTTTTTCACCGTAAGCAAAATCACTTTCTTTGTTTCACGACGAAAGTGAAAGTGGAGGTGAAACAGATGCCCACTTCTGCAAATTGGGTGGGGAAATACATACAAACATTTAGGAAAGGTTTAGAGGAAGGTGAGAAAAGAGCCTCCAGATCATCTTCATGACATCCCAATACAAGCCTTTAAATGTCTTGGCTTTACCCCAGACTACACAACAGTGCACTGAACATGTCTAATGTATACAGTACAGTTAAACTTAATGCAAAATTGAAATCTTAGATGCAACGACTGACAATGACTATATCCTGTTTTCTTTTTAGTTCACTAAAAGTCAGGGCATTTTAGTTTTATCTCAGTCAAAGAAAATGTAACCATTTTAGTATAGTTTTAGTGAATGAAAACTGTTGGCGTTTTCATCTTTGTTAATCATCAGATTATATTGAACATTTCACTCAATGTAGAAAATATCAGCGCCAAAATGTGCCAAACTATCACCTACTTTCTATCCCCCAAGCCCTATTGTTGACATAGATACGTTTAATTTAGGTAAGTTAGCATTACTAATTTAATAGTAGACAGTGCTCCGAGTCCTCCTGACTGTGCTCATCGTCTGCTGTCGGTAGCCAACTGCAGCTCCGGAGACTGACCTTCAGTTAGCGGCTAACTTCATTTTGGTAACGTTTTATTTTTCAAACTACAATTTTTTCACAGTTTGTGTTTAATGATGGTGTCGTCTTGTCATCGTCTCGGCTTAGTCATGGAAAATAAGATATTTGCGTCGACAAAATATACGACTAAATACAAACACTAATTGAGGTTTGTCATTAACTGGGACAGATGCGATGCTGTGATAAATGGGGTATATGAGGAAAAACTTTTTGCACAAACATTTGTCTATCTGGAGTGCCTACCACCACACAAACTGTGAAATAAGACAATCCATTCCGTTTTTTTATGGGCATCCGATCAGGAAGCATGTGATTCAACAAGCCATTCACATTTTGTTCCCCTTCCTATGTCACATGCAGGCTCATTAGGATATACCAGCCCTCATATGAATATTTTCACCCACGACTTGAAAACTATACCTATGCACCATTTATTTTTTTCTCACAAGCCAATCAGAGCACACTAGGCTTTTTCATGAAGGGTTCTTAAAGAGACAGGCACTCAAACGGAGCGTTTCAGACAGAGGGTGAATGCGGATATATTAAGATAGACAGTTTGAGACAAGTCAAGTGTTTTTTTTGAATGTTCAAGCATGTAAACATGTTCTAGTAGAAACCCCAAATACAAGTATGCACGTGAAGATGAGCATGACATAGGTTACTATCAGATTTCTGCTGAATGCAAACTGATAACTGGTCAAACTGATGCTCATCGGCCTGCTAGTATCTTGCATCATTTACAGATATTATGAGGGCATTTTTACGAGCCTGCCAATGCATGTCAGCAATTGTGAAATATTCACAGCTAATCCGCCCATCTACAGCTGATAAGAACAGTTAGATTCACTGTTGTGTGGCAATATAAGGGCGCACTAGGAAACTATGCTTTATAATCAGGCATCAGCACAACTCCCTCAGATTAAAAAAAAAAATACTTCTGAAAATAAGAAGCAAATTATAATAATCAGAAATTGTCCTTCAATGTAATACTGTCTGATCCAGTTGTGTGGTGGTTGTAAACACACGCATGCAGTGACAATGCTCTCTTCTGACACAGCAGCGCCTGTTTTACTTTCGAGCTAAGCTGTGCATGCAGTCTGACAATTTTATGTCTACCCAATCAGTCCAGGAACTTATCCAACTTTGCAAGTCTTTAGGCCTCTTCAGTGGTGTGTAATGAATAGAGGCATTGCTGTTTGTTTTTTAGTTTTTTTTAGGTTGCAGCACAGAAGCACACTAGCTCAGTCGTTGAAGAGTGAATTGTGGGAAAGAGACTTCTTACTGCCTGGAAGCCAGGATGTGTTGGTCCCAGACAAAACAAACCAAAGGATTCTGTGTGATTTGTCTCTTATGTGCTGTGTTATCTCATCCTGTTGCCTCTGTTGTCTTTAATTCAAAGCAGTGGACAGCAGCAGTCTGCAGTATGTTTAAAATGTGAGGACATACATTTTCTGCTGCGTGGAGATGCTTTGTTTGTTTCTGCTTGTTTAACCTGCCGCACAGTTTCTGTGTCTCATCTGCAGACATTTCCATGCCTTCCAATGGCTATAAGGTATAAGGTGCTAGATATGAAGTCAATTACTGTAATTAGGATGTTAGTGGATTACGTTCATCGGTTTGAAAGCCATCCTGTCATTGCAGCTGCTCCTCACTTATGTAGTCAGTTTTTTATTCACCACTACAGAGAGAAGTCTGAGTCCAATAACACTTAATAATATCTCCCCCCCCAAAAAAACAAACTATAAATAGATAACATGTTCAAGGTAACTACATCTTGAAACAGCAGTGAATTCCTTTGAAATTAAACTAAATATGTAAGGCCCTCTTTCTGGAGTTGCTCAATACGAGGTTCTACCAGTAAAGGGCCGGCCTGGGGTCAAGATGTGACTGTCGAAGCTTTAATCGAGGTGGATCTGGAATCGTCAGGATGCAACATACTGAAGGAGAAGTGAAATCACATACTCTGCTGCTATTTGGCCCTGAAAGGTTAAAGCCGACTGCTGCGATTAAAGGAAAGTTCAACTAAACTAAGTAAAACAAATAATAGGCAGGGAAAACACGTAATTTCAACATAACTCATTTTTGGACACAAACAGTGGTCTCCTGTGTGAAAGTCCTGTGTTTGTTTGACTCCCCCCCACACCATATGTGTTTTCTTTGTGGGTCTTTATACAATGCCATTTTCTCTGACTGTCTAGTAATGATGCGGGTGGGTTTCCACTGTAGTAAAAGCAGCAGAAAGTCTGGTGAGCGTCTGTTTTTGATGCCCTGGGAATGAGAACGGGCTGTTTAGGCTTAGGCTGCACTGCAAAGGCAAGTTTAAGTGATCGTCTGGCTCTGGTATGAACAGTTTTACTTCAGTTCAATAAATCTCAGCATTATTAATTTGAATCCTTACTGTTTCGAATTCCCGGAAAAAATAAAATCCATCTTTTTACCGATGCCAAACCCTCACTGGGAAAGTAAGTCTTTTGAGCAAGGGTGTGATGTGTTTTGGTTCAGTCTGAAATCCACTGCTGTTTCTGAGTGAGGTCATTTTTGAGCACAGAGGAGGAGAGAAAATAACAGTTTTTGTTTTTTGTTGTACAGATAGAAGGGTACATTTGAACAAAAGAACATCCCTCTTTGTCTTACACTGTCCAAAGTTAATCAAAAAAAAGGTAACTATGTCTCCAGCGGGGTTAAAGTTGCCTGTGAGTACTGGGTTCAGCCTTTGCTGCTTGATGAGGAAGTAAAACTCCACAGCAATTCCCCGTCCAGCGTCTCCCAGCTTCCCAGCTGCTGACCACATGATGATAAGTGCTCCCCTGCTGCCTGCTGTCCTCTGTCCACTTGTCCCTTTCAGGATGCTGCAAAACCAGCCATGGGTGATTTCTTTTCCTGGAAAGACAGGAAAGTTGGTTACACGCACTTGCACGCATTCATAAGCACAGCATAAGCATGTATACACAGAGACTCTCTCACACTCACATAAACCCCACAGGCTCGATAAAGAACAGTGGGACACAGGGATGGCTCCATTCACGTAAAGTCAAATGATGGGAAAACTAAACCAGAATCTGGCTTGTTGACAAAAAAAGGTTGTTTTTCCAAAGACAATAGAGATAGTGACACACACTCACTGAAATAAAATATATACACACATGTACAAACACAAAGTGAAGGTGCTTTTTCAAGAAAACTCCACAGGGTACCTTTAAAGATTTTTTTTTTTTTCAGAAAGAGAATTCCGCTACAAAATCACATTGTAGATAAAGTGTTTTCATCATGTAATGTAATTTACACACACAAAAGCCACACAAAGGTGAGATTCATACTTTTAAATGTTTCTGTTTTATGATGGAAAAGGCTATGAGGATATTTAGTTAATACGTTTTAAATTGGCCAGGCCAATATATCGGCAGACATCAGCTTTATTTTAGATGTACTATACCTTTAATTTAAACAATAACCAAATGTAGTCAAATAATACTGATCTGGTTACAGATAGTCTTGCTGGTCCATTCAGCTACTGGCGCTTCTCTGCTTGAAATAAAAAATAAAATGTTTGAATGACACCAGCAGAGATTCTCCACATCACTCATCAATGAGTCGACTTCATTGTCGAATCAACCGTGACCCTTGTTCCCTGCGTGTCAGGTGCTGGCTCACACAGTCTGTCTGTGAATGATTTGATTATGTCAAAGCCCATGGTGCTGTACGCGCCCGCATCGTCAGACAGCGCGGAGCGCCAACACATACCATCATCCCAACACATGCACACAGATGCCACATCGCTGACTGAAACCCACAATGTATAACCAATCAATGTTATA